GAGTCTACCATAATAGGGACCTAAATTAAAAAAAAAATTTATTATTCTGATCCCTTCATCTTATTCAATAAAAGGTTACAGCAAGAGATCCAACTAAACCAAGATTTGTCTGTGGTGCACTTGGTCCAACAAATAGAACTTGTTCAATTTCCCCCTCTGTTGAAAACCCTTCTTATCGCAATGTTACATTCGATGAGCTTGTTGATGCATATACTGAACAAGTTAGAGGTCTTCTGGATGGTGGTGCTGATATTATATTAGTGGAAACAATTTTTGATACTTTGAATGCTAAAGTATGTGTGATCAAATCGCACTTATCAATATCTATCGAGATCATAACAATCATATTAAATTTTATTATTCAATTTCAGGCTGCCCTTTTTGCAATTGACACACTCTTCGAAGAAGGTTCTTATAAAAAAACCCCAATATTTATTTCTGGTACTATTGTCGATCAGTCTGGCCGTACACTCAGTGGTCAAACCGGTGAGGCCTTTGTGGTCAGTGTCAGTCATTCTCATCCTTCGGCCATCGGGTTGAATTGTGCCTTAGGGGCTGAGCAAATGCGCCCTTTTATTCAAAATATTGCAAATTTTACAAGCTCATTTGTAATTTGTTATCCTAATGCGGTTGGTATTAAATATTCATGATGCTTAAAAATATTACTTTATATGTTATATTAATCATTGATTTTTATAAAAGGGTCTTCCAAACACGTTTGGTGAATATGATGAGTCTCCTTCGATGATGGCCGCAAAGGTTCACGAATTTGCTCGAGATGGTTTGGTCAATATAATGGGCGGTTGTTGTGGTACTACGCCCGCTCACATAAAAGCCATCGTTGATGCTTGTTCTCATTACAAGCCTCGAGTTCCACCACATGATGTTCGTTTGGAAAATATGTTAATATCTGGTCTGGAAGTCTTGAAAATTAACAAAGAATCCAACTTTGTTAATTTAGGTGAAAGGTGTAATGTAGCAGGTTCAAGAAAATTCTGTCGTCATATTCTTAACGGTGAATATGAGGAGGCTATGACAATTGCAAGAGCTCAAGTTGAAAATGGTGCTCAAGTTATTGATGTTAATATGGATGAAGGAATGTTGGATGGGAAAGCTGCGATGACTAAATTTTTGAATTTAATTTCTTGCGATCCTGATGTTGCTAAGGTACATCTTATTTTTTTATATGTTATTATTAAACCGATTTAGTAAATTTATTTTTTAATTTAGGTCCCTATTATGGTAGACTCTTCAAATTTTGATGTTATATTGGCTGGATTAAAATGTGCACAAGGAAAGTGCATAGTTAATAGTATCAGTTTGAAGGAAGGTGAAGCCGATTTTATTAAAAAGGCAAAGATTATTCGAAGATTTGGTGCTGCCGTTGTTTGTATGGCTGTAAGTTTCTTAATAAAGCATTTATTGTATTTATTATACTGCATTATTTTTTTTCATGAATTTTTTTTTAAATACATATATTTCTCACGAATTACTGTCATATTAACGGACAATAACTAATAATGACAGTTTGATGAGACAGGTCAGGCTGATTTAAAAGATCGTAAGGTGGAAATATGCACCAGATCGTATAAAATCTTGACAGAAGAAGTTGGATTTAATTCTAATGATATTATTTTTGGTATGTTTATCAAATTCACATTTACAATTATCATATCTAAATTAATTTATTATTCCAAAAATAGATCCGAATATCCTGACAATTTGCACGGGTATGGAAGAACATAACAATTACGCTGTAGAATTTATCGAAGCTACTAGAGTAATAAAACAAACATTACCTGGCGCAAAGGTAATATAAATAAACAATAATATAAGCAAATAAGATTTATTTATTAAAAATTGCTCATTTCTTTTGTATATATTTTAAATGACATGTTTCAGGTCAGTGGCGGTATTTCGAATTTATCATTTTCTTACCGTGGAATGGATAAAATTAGAGAAGCAATGCATAGTGTGTTTTTGTATCATGCAATTAAAGCTGGTAAGTTTAATGTTAACTAATGTATGATTTTTTTTTAAATTTCCAATTTCCTCAATTTCTCCAATTTCTTAATGCCTGTTACATTCAGGTCTTGATATGGGAATTGTAAATGCGGGATTCTTGACAATTTATGATGATATCCCAAAAGACTTACTACAGCTATGTGAAGATGCAGTATGGAACAGAGATCCTGATGTCACTGAAAAAATTTTAGCATATGCGCAAAAATTTGGAAAAGGTTCCAAAAAAGATGATACTGAAGAAGAATGGAGGAAGAATGATGTACAATCGAGAATTTCTTATGCTTTGGTTAAAGGTATCGTAAAATATATAATCGAGGATACTGAGGAAGCGAGACAACTGGTTGGTTTAACAAAATTAATTCCGATCCGGTTATTATTGACATAATTACCATATTAGGATTTGTGGCAAACTTACTATGTTACTAACAATAGTACATATATTAGAATCTGACAAAAGTCGCTTTGATAAATAGCTTTTAAGTTACTTTTAATAAAAGTTATAAAGGAGCTAATTGCGGTCTGATTGTGGTAAAATGTTTAAATCAGTCCGGTAAATATTGATAAAAGTGTTTTTGTGATATAAAATTTCTTTGCAAATGTTCAAAGAAAATTTTGTATGATCGCAAAGACATTTTATCATTATTTTACAACTTTGATTAGAAATATAGGTACGTTCACTTAATAAAAATTTTTTTATCATAGTAACTTTTGTCAGATTCCAGTGTTCTAATATGAAAATTGTGCTGATCATATCCGGATCAGCTGTTAGTATTTTTTATTATGAATTATTGATTTTTACTCTAAATTTTAGCTACCAAGACCATTGGATGTCATTGAAGGACCATTGATGGCTGGCATGAGTACTGTTGGTGATTTGTTTGGTGCAGGTTTGTTAACTTTCATGTAATAAAATCAAACTATTTTACGTATCAACAACGACTTAAGCCTTTTTTTTTTTTTTTTTTCTTTTGTTATACATAGGCAAAATGTTTTTGCCTCAAGTAATTAAATCCGCACGGTAAACCTTTTATCTAAACGTGAAAACGTTATTGTTTATATAAGTTTTGATGTTTTTGCTTCATCTTTGCCCAGTGTTATGAAGAAAGCCGTTGCACATTTAATCCCATTTATGGAAGCCGAGCGTCAAGCTAGTTTTGCAGCTAACGGAGGTGAAGGAATAGATACTGGTCCACAACATGCTGGTGTTGTAGTTTTAGCTACAGTGAAAGGAGATGTTCATGATATTGGCAAAAACATAGTTGGTGTCGTACTTGGTTGTAATAATTATAAGGTAATTTTTTTCGTTTTTGTTTTTAATAATAGTCCAAGATCGTTTTAACGTGATTTTGATTTTTTGAAGGTTATAGATTTAGGCGTGATGACTCCATGCGAAAAAATTATTGAAACTGCTCTTAATGAGAAAGCAGATGTTATTGGTCTGTCAGGATTGATTACACCATCCTTAGATGAAATGATACATGTCGCTAGAGAAATGGAAAGACGTGGCTTAAATGTAAATGTCTTTATTATCAAAATTTATTTTTATTTACACTTATGTTTTGTTAATTTTATCAATTGTGAACGTTACAGATTCCATTATTGATTGGTGGTGCAACAACATCTAAGGCTCATACAGCTGTAAAAATTTCACCAAGATATACTCAACCAACAATCCATGTATTAGATGCTTCAAGGAGTGTTGTTGTGGTAACATATTTTCAGCATTTCTTTTTAATATCAGTTCAACACAATTTGCTAATAATAACCTTAAATCAGGTATCAAGTCTTTTAGATGCCAAGGTGAAAGATGACTTTTGGGAAGATATAGCAGAAGAATATGAAGAAATTCGTGAAGACCATTATTCTTCATTAAAAGATAAAAAGCATTTGTCATTAAAAGCCGCTAGAGAGCAACGATTTAGGATAGATTGGAAAACCCAAGCACCACCAGTAAAGCCGTCGTTCATTGGGAAGAAAGTGATGAATGAATATGATCTGAAACGAATTTCCGAGTATATTGACTGGAATCCGTTCTTCCAAGTTTGGTAAGAAATTTTACTGGATTAAATTTGGATGAAATTTGGATGAAGGTAAATTAATTCTTAATGAATATTCTTGTGAATTAGGCAATTACGTGGAAGATATCCCAATCGTGGTTTTCCAAAGATTTTTAACGATGAGCATGTTGGTAAGTATTATTATTAGCATGAGACTAAGATCAATATCAGTCATTTATTTTAATTTGATGCTTACATTTCATTATATGGATGAACTTAGGCGCGGAAGCAAAAAAATTATACGAAGAAGCATTAGTTTTTGTTAAAAAGATTATTGATGAAAAGTTGTTTGTTGCTAAGGGAATTGTGGGACTTTACCCCGGTATGGCCTCATACATAAATAGTTATGTAAATTTTCTTATAAATTATTGACTATTTGAATTGTTTATGTAGCCAATAGTGTGGATGACGATATCCAAGTATGTTGATTTTAAGCAATTTATTGTATATCTTTATGACTTTCTATATTGTAACAAAATTTTAATTTCATAGGTTTATGAGGATGAATCACGTTCTAAAGTCTCTTCAACGTTCTTTGGTTTGAGGTATATTCGTGTTTATTAAAATGAATGCTAAGCTTGTTTTTTTATCGATAGTATCTAATATATTCTTTAATAAATAGGCAACAATCTCAAAAAGAAACTGGCGATCCATACTTTTGCCTTTCCGATTTTATTGCGCCTAAAGATTCCGGCATATCAGATTATCTAGGCTTATTTGCTGTAGGAATATTTGGAACCGAAGAATTGTGCAAAAAATTCCAGGAAGATCACGATGATTATAATGTAATCATGACAAAAGCAATTGCAGATAGATTTGCGGAAGGATTTGCGGAGTGCTTACATGAAGATATACGGAGAGAATTGTGGGGGTTTAGTCCAAATGAAGACTTATCATTAGGAGATATGTTAAGTGTTAAATATCAGGGAATTCGGCCTGCTCCTGCATATCCGTCACAACCTGACCATCGTGAAAAAACCACAATGTGGAAGTTGATGGACGTTTATGAAGAAACTGGAATTGAGTTGACTGATGGATTAGCTATGTTACCTGCCGCTAGCGTATCAGGTATATTTGACTATTACCTAAATATTTGAATATTACTTTATATGCTTACGAAACTTTTTTTATTCCGTAATTACAGCTTTAGTATTCGCAAATCCTGAATCGCAGTATTTCGCAGTTGGAAAAATTGAAAAAGATCAGGTTAATAAATACTATAATTGTTGTCGGAAATCTGGATGATGTTGAGATTTGGAAAAAATAAGCACAATGTTCATTGAACATATTGTGTACATAGATTTTATATGCCGATATTCCAAATTTCAACGTCGCCTACTATAATTGTTAAGTGGCAATATTAATTGTAATTTATTACTCTTGTAGGTTTTAAGCTATACAGAGCGTATTAATAAGGATTTAGAAGAAACAGAAAAATGGCTACGTCCAATTTTAAACTATGGTAAGTTGTTTATATTGCAGTAATATATTTTAAATAATTGTATTTGGATTTACTTATCTTTATTTAAAATTTAGATTAAAGAACGAATATTTGTTGATGTTAGTTAATAAAACTAGGGATATATGTTTATAATTTAAAGATTTAAAATTATTTTATTTATAGATTTAATTTTTATTTATTGTAATATGTATATAGTAATATATTACTGTATGCTGAATAAAAAGTAGTCAATAGTCTTATTAAAAAGGACTTAAAAACTAAGGGTGAAAGATTGGCCCTTCAAATTTTAGTTTTTTTATCGAAAATCATTAGATGGATGTTTAATTTAGGTATATATTACGTATAAGCATATAGTAGATGTTCTTAGAATTTCATTTAGGTATAAACATTTTATAGATGTTAATTAGTCATGTGATCTTATAGTTTATCTTTCAAGATTATTCGTCCATAGTCAATTAGGTAGATCTTTTTTTTTTTTTTTGCAACAAACGGACTACCGGAGTTTGGTTGTACAAAATCCTATAAATTAGTCGAATATAAAAAGCCACCGTATCCATTTTAAATTCCAAAATCTTCGTTCCGTAATAAACTCAGACAAGTGATTAAGTCTAACTTGCCACCCAAAATATATTGATAGTTTGATACATATCCTATTCACTCGCAATCATGGCCGAAACGGCAACAAACCTCTCTGAAAATGCTACCTCAGAACCCACACCTGTCGCAGGACAAAAAATTAATTCATTTAAAGTCGGGTGGCTCTTTGTACATGAATATTATACCATCCTAAACAAAGAACCGTGGCGCCTACACTGCTTTTACGGGCGCAATTCCATCCTCATCCGAGGTAATGAAGGTCAGAAAGTCATGTCGATTGTGGGCGAGCAGGTTAGTAATAGCTTTATTCTTCTTGATCAGTAGTATAATGTTACTGTATTTTTATCTCTTAGCGTATATACTGCGATTTCATATGTATATATGAAATTACAAGCAAGAAAAAATTTTTTATTTACTTTGCGCCTAAAAAATCACTGCTAGCTTAAATATTCGGTTTCCTTTAAGAATCCTCAATGCTATTTCTATTTTCACTGCACATGCTATTATTGTTTTTATTGTTTTTATAACACTTTAGCGAGAGGTTATGTTTTTTTGAGTATGGCGTATCCTGATTCATTAACATGAAAAAAAAGGATTTTTAATAAAGTTATTTATGTTGCATTTAGCCTATCAAAAAACAAATACATATTCTACGACCCTTGAATAATTAGTACGAAAAAATCTAATTCATCATATTTATTGAATATTGAATATCAATAGGAAATACGAGAGAAAATCAAGCAACTCAATTTAGACAATTGCCGCGTTCTTGTCACCAACGTGGACAGTCAGTCATCTCTTAATGGCGGGATAGTTGTTCAAGTTCTTGGTGAAATGAGTAATGGGAACGAAGAGACTTCTAGAAAGTTTGCTCAAACTTTCTTCCTTGCCGAGCAACCAAACGGATATTACGTATTGAATGATATTTTTCGATTTCTGAATGAAGATGATGATGTAATTTCTGAATGTGATGAGGTCGATGAAGGAGCCATCGAAGAGTCGGTGGGAAACGAAGGAGGCGAGGAAGATATAGGTTCATCACCCACCGGCACTCTTGTTGAAGAACCGATTAATGTCCCCACTATAATCGAAGGAGAAAATGCCGTTGCACATACGCGTGAACCTATTGCGTCAGATGTAACAAATAGCACTCCAAACACCAACGAAACCGAATCTGTCCCCAGTGCACCTTTACCATTAATGTCAGCATCTACCTCTGAAGGGCAACAAACTAATTCATCTTTGGTAGCGTCAAATGACACGTTAAACGCTTCCTCTGATAAATCTCAGGCCACTCAAATTGCAGTCGGTTCACCCTCAGTTCACGCGAACAAGAATTCGGTTACGAATGTGGCGGTTAATATTCAGCCGGTTTATCCGAATAGAACACCGGTTCCTAACATAGTGCCCTTTACAACTCAAGTATCGCCACCTTATATTAATCAACAACCAGTTCCTACGATGATTAATGGGCCATCATCTCAAAATATGAAACAATCTACCAATGGTCAAATTGGTAATGCATCCCCTACTTACGCTCAACGTTCGAATACGCCCAGACCACAAACAGTTGGAAGTGGCCCAGCATATACTCAGGCATCAAGTTCTAGAACACAAACGACTGGCAATGGTCCAGCAATTGCGCAACAATTACAAATCCCTAAAGTTGCGTCGCAAGCAGTTCCACATACTGTAAACGGTTTGCATACATCAGTTCCTCGATCAACCTCCCCGGTTTCTCAAAGATCTGTTTCTCCGGTTGGGAATGATCATAAATCATCTTTAAATATTGTCAACGGTGAGCCCGGAGTTGTCAATCAATCTGTTGAGAACGGGCAATCTACTGTTACCAAACCAGCGGGCAATGTTTCGGATAATCCTGAAGCTGCTTCTGTGAAACCGGCATCAACTGTCGTAAATAGTGAAAACCTTTCTAAATCAACATCTAATGTCGCTAGTGGAGAATCTACTTCTGTGAAATCAGTAGTTAACGGCGAGCCAGTCACGCACGCAAATGTTCAAAGCGGCTCTGACTCTAAGAAAATCGGTGTTGCTACAACTAACACCGCTAACGTAAAAGATGAGTCGACAGTTAATGCCGTTCAGGCTTCCGGCACAAATCAACAAGCCACACAACCAGCACCAAAGCCACAAGGGCCCCAAACTTGGGCAAGCACCCTCTTCAAAAGTGGTGGTAATACGCAAACCGAGCCCAAGCCCCAAAGTGTTCCTGCAACACTTCCTGCACAAAAGGTACAGCAAAAACCGGCACCTCAAAGTTCGCATCCACCTCAACAACAAACCCGGGAAAACAGAAACTTTCGTCAGGAAGGACTAAAAGGAAACAATCGCCGTAACAGTGGTCTGTATTTTTTTCAACCTTTATTATTATTATTATTCAGACTCGTGATATTAAATTTGATATTAATTATATATACTATTTAGATACAAACTTTTCTATCTATGTTAAAGGGGTCTCTCAAAAAGTGACCTATGATCAATTGAGATCTTCGCTCAGTTCTTTTGGACAGATTAGACATCTTGATCTTATTCACAACAAAGTAAATATTATATTTAGTAATAGATTTATTGAAATGCATTTATTGACGCAATTTTAACTTTTTCTTTTAATATAGTCTTGTGCATTCGTCGAGTTTTATGATGAAGAATCGTACAGAGAATGTCTTAATCGTCATACTCTTACTATTGCTAATCAATGTTTAACCTTTGAAGAGCGCCGCCCATCTCGCAATAATATTAACCGTGGTGGCAATAAACCGCCTCGCGGAAGAGGCTATTAAATTGTATACGAAGTAAAAATAGTCGAATTGAAAGCGAAATGTTCTGGTAGCATGGACTTTAATCGATTCTTGTAAAAATTTCCCTCTTTTTTTTTTTTTTTTTTTTTTTTTTTTTTTTTTTCTTTTTTTTTTTTGTGTGCAATTTTCCTGGGTTGGTAAGGTAAAATAATTTTAACTATAGGGTAATATAAACTTTAGTGATAAGGTAATTTTTCATAAATTTAGAGAATAGGCGCATAGATTACTATCCTAAACAATACATGTTTCTTTTATAGGTAGAATTATTTTAACGCCAGAAAAGACTTCTAGGATACTAGATTATATTTGATGTGTAGTAATCGATATAAATTTGCATTCTTTTTTTTTTCTTTTTTTTTTTTTTTTTTTTTACGTTTTATACAAAGAAAAATCACCAAAAGTATTATATATAATTTTTTTAATCATTTTTTAGTATATCAAGAACATAATTAACCATCTTTTTTATTATACAGTACTAGTGAAAAATTGCACATATATACATCACTACACATCAAACATATCATTTGTAATAAAATTTAACATTTGTAAATACGTACGTACCTAAAAAAAAAAAAAAAAAAAAAGAACTTTGTAATACAAAAATATATACATTATTTACTAATAATGATGATTGTCTACTACAAAGTATACAAAGTGAACATTATAACTTTCATTATCTTAGTCATACAATATTTATTGTTACCGAATCATGAATTAATCCAAAGAGAGGCAATGTTTTAATACAACTCACTTTCGTTATAGTGAAGTCGTCGGGCTGAAAAAATAAATCTTCATTATGTCTTATATTTCACTATATCGAGTTGAAGTTTAATAATTCTGTAATTAATATTTTTCACTACGCATATCGAATCTTCACTATATATAATGAAAGTGAGTTGTACTATAGACACATGACTAAAGAAAATCAGTAATGTGAAATCAAATAAAGCATAACGATAACGATAAGGTTCGTTGATCGAAAATCATGAGTTAATTGGTTGATAAACGTATCAAAATTCAAAGCGCGAAAAAATATACGAAATGAATGTTTAAAGCTCACTAATAAACAGTAGTAATAATACCTGCTCTAACCCCAACTGTATAACTTTAGGCGTTCCCCAAAAAAGTAATTCGCTTAATAATATCACGAGCTCACCCAAATTAATAACTCTTTTTTCCTTATTCTGTTTAATTGTAATTTTTTTTGTGGCTGAATTTCATTTCGATGCTTAATTAAGATACATATTTATCGTAGTTATAAATGAAAGATGTTGCCGGACATACCAAGAAACGAAGATCCAGTTAGTGATCTTTCAACAAACGATAATATAATCTTGATGGCTGACAACATGCAAGAATATCCCGAAGATAATGGTGATGAGTATAATGAAACAAGTACATTGCTACAATCTGAAATAAGCAGTATTACTGCGGGGGGTGATGACATTGCTAGTCAAGGAATGACAAGAGAGTTGGATAATAAGAAAAAAGAAAAGCCAAATATTTGCACTTTAAAGAATTTTATCAGGCTAGTTTTGTTGGCGCTGTTTATTGCACTTGTCGTTTTTCTTTTGGCTGTAAGTATAGACTTCCTTTTTTAAATAATAAGTTGTCGTTTATTGATCCTTCTTTATATTACATATTTGTCAAATAAATAACATTAGGTTCTTAAAGTCCAAAATCATATCAAGGAATACCTTCATTACATTGAAATTCATGAACGTTATGGAATTGCTATATATTTATCTATCTATATTGTCTGTGTATGGGTGTTCTTGCCGGGGTAATTTTCCAGTTATGCGTTCACGTGATAAAATAATTTTTAATTTTTTAATTTTATCATTCAAACTTCAAAACTAATCAAATAATAAATTAATTACAATGTGCATAGATCAATAATAAGCATAGCAGCAGGGTTCTTATTTAAACCCCCAATACTAGCAGGGCTAGTCATTATGATGGGTGACGGTTTGGCAGCGACTGGTGCTTTTATTTTTGGAAGATATGTCTTTTCAGATTGGGTTAGGGCACAAATTGAAAAAAAACCATCAATTGCCGAATTTAATCATGTCATTAATAATGTTATTACCGAAGAAGGTATATATATTTATTTGTTACTAGTCATATGAATTTATACGAGTTATACGAATACTAAAGGTTTATACTTTTTTAAAACATTGTAGGATGGAAAATTGTTCTAATGCTACGACTGACTCCACTACCATTTAATTTGGTTAGTTACATTTTCTCAGTTAGTATAGTTGATGTAAGTAATATTTTATGAAACAAAATTTGGTTTTCTTGTTTCCATGTTTCAAAATGATATTGGTGCGCAATTCTAACGATTCTGAATTATAGTTTTGGACCTTTTTGTGGGCAACCCTTCTTGGTGTTCTACCCGGTGCGTTTAATGCGGTATGGATAGGATCACTAGTCAAGAGTCTTAGTAAGCTTGATGAATATAAATTGAAAGATGAAGGTATGTATTACTTATTGGTTATCATATTCCATCCTATCAAACTAACCTTTTAGCTTGTTTTATAATCTAGATATTGTGATTATCACCATGAATTTTATCTTTGTTGGATGTTGTGTGGTTGCATTATCATTATTTGGAAAACGATCTCTACGAAAGGCTATGTTGAAACTCCGAGAGTCAAAAGAATCTGAAAACCCTCCTGCTTTACCTTCAGTACCGCATCGTAAGTACACATAAAAGTTATTTCTACCATTCATAATACTTATTTAAATTACTTTATATACACTTTTTATGATAATCTTCTAGCAGCGGTTGATGTAGAAGAGGCGCATCCTTTAGATTCTAATGCTGGTCGATTTACACGAGGAGAACGAATTACTCTCTATACTATCGGTGTGATAACCATTCTTAACATTGTGATTAGCGTGTCGCTTTATTATTATTTCAAATCGCGTAACAACAATGGTCATGAGTAAGTTTTATTAAATTCTAGAAATTTTTTTTTGTTAACATTGTATGTTAACCACCCTATTGTAATTTATTATCGTAAATATTTATTTATTTATTTATTTGTGAAATAAACATCATTTGACTTGTCTGATAGATTTTTAGATTATCACATAATATGAATTCTACGTAGTATCGACAATCTTCCAAAGTTAATTAATTTGCTTTTATTAGCATTTATCTAATATTAATATACACTAAAATGATACGTATAGTATTATCTAAGTATATTTTATAGTTTATATTTGGTGCAGGGTGCATTTTGGTGCACCCAATAGCCAATAAGTACAAATGATGATTAAAAGTTAGAGTTTGGGTTAGGGTAAAATTTCAGCATTAGTAAAGTTTGATTTTATTGGTTGATGATGATCAACATAATTAAAAATTCCGATTGGTTAATTTAATAAAGCCATATCTACTATCGATCGTGCAAAATGCTTATCAGTTATGTAATATAACCTCACACGTATTTGAGTAAAATTATACGTATTCTTTTACTAGTATTTTGTGGGAAGATATTTATCATCTTCTCCGTGAGAGGCATTACTATTATAATATTAATGTTAATTCGGTATTTAATGTTAATCTAAAAGTTAAGACTAGTATTAATATTAAACAGCAAGAAGCTAGTTACATAATAAATTCGTGTTGTTTTCGTTGTTTTTATTTATTTATTTTTTTTTTAGCGTTATAGTTTTTTTTGGTATGCTGTATATGCCTTAAATTCAGATTAGGTAATAATCACGAAATT